TTCCTCATCACCAGCAGCATCCCCTCCCTTCCTTTAATGCAGATTACAGGGCAGGAATTTGTCATGAAATGCCACATTTTAAGTGTTTTCATCCCACTCAAGAGCAGTTTCATCAGAGCAAAGGAGAAGCCTTAGGGAGCATCACACTGGGTAGGAAACCAATTTTTGTCCAGTTCTCTCAAGTTGTTTCACCAATTATCTATTCTTGAACTTCACACACCCCCATAGCTCTGCTTCTGCTGCCTGTGGAGGTGGGAGAACATTTGGATCCCCCTCGAATTCGCAGCTGTGGAGAAGGATGGAGAAACCTGAAGATTAACCTCCTCCTACTCCAGAGTCCAGCAGTCTGTGCGTTCCCTGACATTTCTCAAACAAATTAGTTCTTCTCAGGGAATTGTCTGTAATTTGCAGCCACCCACAGCGTAGGGCCCAGGCAAACACACCCCGTGCTGCTGGTCTGTACACAGAATTAACTGGCAGCTCTCTTAATTATCCCAAATCCACGCTGCACACCAGGGGCTGATGGATTGGCTTCACCCCAACTGGGTCTCCCCCGTTTGCTGGTTCCTGGTGGACAACAAACGGATCCCAACAGCACAAGCTGTTGATGTGAACAAAGAGCTTGTTTAGTTGCACAAAGGGAAATGGAACACAGGGAAGTTTCATCCAAAGGGCCCTGGAGACTTCAGGCATGAATGTGGGGAGCAGCTGCTTTGATGTAAAAAGATCCAAAGTTAACTCTGAAAGCTCTGTGAAAGATGAACACACCAGGTTCTGCTCTCTTTGGTTGAAATCAGAGACCTGGGAATATATTTTTTTCTGAAATGAGCTTGCAAAAACAAAACCTGGATGCTTATTTCATAGAATCATGGAATGGTTTGGGTGGGAAAAGGTTCCTGGGCTCCCTAGGACCACCACCACCTCCAGGCAGGATATTCCCCTTTCAGTCAGCCTCCAGCAGTTACACTTCAAACATTAAATTAAAATTAAATTAAAATCCTCCTGAGAAAATTCTCATCTAGGAATTGGACACCCAAACCCACTAAATGTGTCTGCAAATCTCAGCCACAAACAGGAGCACAGTTTGAACTGCCCAGTGTGTCCCCACCTGCCCCTATGATGCTCAATCATAAAAAGTCAGTAAAACTTTGAGAACTTCAGTAAAAAAACCCAACTGCAAGAAACACCCAAACCAAAACACTCCCTGCAAAGAGCCCTCCTGCTCCAAACCTGCAGAGATTTGCTAAGAGAGAAATATTTATAAACTCAATATTCAAATCAGCTGGTTTTTTGCTTTATTAATCCCTCACCTTTTCAAGGAAGCACGGCTGGTGCTGCCTCCTCTGCATGAGCTTGGAGCTAGGGGCACCAGGAGGCTTTGCCAGGGGTGATGGATAAAGGTTGGCATCAGCTGGAATCACCTTGTGCAGGACCTTGTTTCACCCCAAGGAAGCAGACTGGGAACCCAGTCAGGATAGATCCACTCTGAAATGCCTCCTTTAAAGGTGGATCATGGGAAGCACCAGGGTCTGGGGCAGGGATAGGAGGGGCTGTGGCCCTGCCTGTGCTGATGATGTCACTGTCATTGTCACTGTCCCATCCTTATGCTCCTCAGTGCAGGTCGGGCTCTGCCTTCAGGCTGGGCTGCAAGTTGCTCATTCTCTCTTTAAAACATAAACTGGGGCTAAAGGCAGCAGCAGGGCCAAACATGCTCTTCTGTGGCTGGCCTGGCCCTAAAGGGAGGAAAACCACATTATTCTGTTTGACAGACACTTCTGGCAGTTCCTGTGAGACAAACTGGATTCGAGTACCTGAGCTGAGCTGAACTGTTCCCTCCCTGTTCCAAGTGGCCCTAGAGCTGGTTTGTTTTCAGTGGAAAGGTCTTCCTTGCTTTTATTTGATGTTTTTTCAAGCTTTTATTTTTATAGCTGGAAGGGTGACAGTCCTATTCTTTCCACTTTATATTCCTCATTTGGTGTGGTCCTCCTAGAACAATATTTGGGTTGTGGTTTTTTTGTTTGGTTTTTTTTTTTTTTTTTTTTTTTTTTTTTTTTTTTTTTTTTTTTTTTTTTTTTTTTTTTTTTTTTTTTTTTTTTTTTTTTTTTTTTTTTTTTTTTTTTTTTTTTTTTTTTTTTTTTTTTTTTTTTTTTTTTTTTTTTTTTTTTTTTTTTTTTTTTTTTTTT